ACCAAGGACCGTGTTACTATTACAGGACTGTTTCTCCAGCAAGAAGCAGTTAAAGGGGCTCTGTATTTATTTTCTTTCTGTGCTTTTTCTATTGTGTAGCTGAGGGAAAGAAGGAACTAGCAAGTTAGGCTAGGTCCGCATTCAGAATGCATTGTCAGCACAGGATCACGTATTCTAATATATGCAGTATATTATGCTGGCACAGCATTTCAATGCAGCTTATAACAGCAAAAAAAAAAGGTTTTTACAGTATAACATCTTGATTACCTGGAAGTGACAAGTTGGTTTTTATACAAAAGTGACTTCTGGCAAGATAACTATTTGTTGGGTCACACCCCAGGTGCTGATCTGTGCAAACCCTGCCTTCACAACATCTGTAGAACAGGCTTGGCCTTTGAGCCTTTACTCTACCTAGAAAACACTGCTTGGTCTTCTTAAGACCTCTGGAGTGGCATATAAGGACTGGAAGAGGACAGGAAACATGAAATAGATTTTTTCTAAAGCTCATTCTGACAAAGACTGAGAATTTGAGTTCCACAAGCAAACAAAACTACACAGTGTTCACAGATATAATATTACAGAATCAAGGTCCTCTGTCCCTTACACAGAGATCCTCTGAGCTCACAGAGCACCAGCACAGCTGCAGTATTTCTATGTGAGTGGTCAGCCTTCAACAGGATTAAAACACAACCCAGCAGTATTGGGAATTTCTTACAAAATGTGTTTCTGAATAGAAATAACAGCACTTATTTTTGTTAGTGTGCAGTAGTGTGCTCAAGGTGCCATTCTGAAATGGTACATGCCCTGAAACTGAAGTGATTGGAAAATAAAACCCCTCAATTAAAAAAAAAAAAATCAGGTTAACTCATGATTACAGTTTTTAAAACAATACTTTTTTATGGAAAGGGAGTTTTTGCATATCTTCACAGCACACCATTAAGATAGAATATCTCTCTGTTCTGTGCATGCTGATTATGATCAATTGTGTTCTACTGTAAAATCTTCTAGGTAGTGAGACATTTTTTCTATTTTCCTGGAAGCATATTATATTGTTCCAGTAAAATGGAGTTTTCACAAATACTCTTTAAACTTTTGAAAAGCAGCATATTCCCCAATCTGAAAATCATTCCATCATAAAATTCCCAGCTAACTGTCAATCTACACAACCAGCAAGGGCAATGAGCTCTGAATGATAGCAGAGCTATTAAATAACCTTGGCATCAAGGTTACAGCAGTTCAATGACCAGGCTAGACAAAGGATGCTTCAGGGCATTCCCTCATGGTAAAAACAGCTCTTGCAAAGGGCCTGCCTCAGTTTCCCATTCCCAATGTCTACTGAGTTAATCAATTTGGTTGTTTTTTTTTTCTTTTTGAGGTGGGGGGGGATGGTGGTGGCAGTGGGGCAGAGGTGGGAGGCACTGAAGTCTCTTAACTGATCATCATCTCTTAACTGATGTTGTTATTAAGCTTCCAGTTCAGATTTCTTGACTTAGAATCAGCATCTCCTGTTCCTCTTCAACTGCAATCAAAAGGTTTTCTCCACCTTGGAGAGGCCATGTTAGTCCAATCTTCCATCAGATGCATGTTGAACTTCACTCATCCAATCACTCTCGATTCTCAGGCTGACGTAACAGGCATATTTGTCCCAGATGAGAGGAGGAGAAATCTTACAATGCAAGATTCTGCTTCCCAAGCCCTTAGGGGGACAGTGGCCCTACATTCTATCTTGCTCCTGATAATAATAATAATTCCCAAGACACTAATCTCTCTAGCAAAGGCTACATCAAATATTTTTTAAACAGATTTCCTTAGGCACACAAGCAATTGATCTTGCAAAACTTCCCTTCTGGTCTTAAAGGCCCAGTGTTCAAAGTTTGTACAACGAGGCTTATAAATTCAACTGATAAAAGTCACACCAGAAAAAAAAGAGAAGAAACATCAAACGTTATTGTAGCAGGAAGGAACTGAGAGCTAGAACATCACATCACACGCAGTTTTAATTTGCAGGTAGAGTGGAGATGTCATGAAAACTTCATCATAAAAGGGGACCAGCTCAGAAACAGAGTAATTTAACAATGCCAGTAAGGACTGAGCTGATAATCACTCTCAAACTCTAGGGAATCTGCAGATGGAATGACTGTGCTGCTGCCTAGGAAATACTAAAAAGTCAGGCGTTTTGTGAGAGGGCTGGACTTAGCAAGGATGATGATATCAGAAGTTGGAGGCTGCAATTGCCAGACACACAGTCAGGACCTGAAAATTCAGCTACCAGACCTTCCCAGGACCCTGCTGCAGCCCTCTCCTCTTCCCCCTGCTGCTGTTCTGCTGTGCCACCTCGTGCTCACCAGCTGACACTGCTGCATGGAACGGGACACCTGCACATCATCAAAGTCCTTCATGTTGGGCTTTGTGAGACCAGAGCAATGTAAGCCTGTGCCCACTGACACAGCTGGAAACAGGACACGTGAACGTGGAACCCTGCACCATCAAAGTCCTTTCTGTGAAGGCCGAGATGCTCACTGATGTTTTTAGCCTTTCAGAGATTACAGGCAGAATTCTGAGTTCATTGTAATGCAGATTGTTAGGGTAGACCTGCGTGGTGGACATTTTCCACAGCTGCTACCAGAGCCATTGCACTGTCTGCTGTCCTTGTCCTCTGGGCTGTGTAGCAGCATGTCCCAGGGCCCAGAGCAGGGAATACACCTTAAGAAATTCCCTGTCCTTTACCAAGTTTGATGCTGACGTGTAGTATTTTGAATAACCACATGACTACCTCGTGTTTTTTACTTACCTCACTGTAAGATGGATGACACTTATTTATTTCACCAGAGTGACAGAGCTTTGGCATGATTTTTCACAGCAGATGGGGCTTTAGAGATCTGCAAATGACATTGCTTTAACAAACTGGCAGAAACACCTCTCTGATGACAGGGCACACACTGGGAGCTTCGCAGAGTACATCCAACAGAAGGAAGCACAGCAATCCAAACAGCTGAAGGTCTTTGCATTTAGCAGATTTTCATAACATTCGTCCAGATATGTTCATATTCCTTGATTTTTTCAGGAACTGCCGACATTCAGGTTACATGGGGACTTTCAGGTGTCGAACCCCTCACTTTAGGCAAGCATCCTGAATGACTTGGGCACGGTGAAGAAACTCTAAGCAAAAAACTGTAGAAATTGTACAACTTGGGAGTCAACCTGACAAACTCCTCAGTGCAGTCGACCTGGCCTCATCAATCCTGTCATGGGAAGCCCGATCACAAAATACATCTATTATATAAAAATGCTGCAGCCTGAGCCGCACAGAAGGGCCGTGCCCAGGGGATGGAGCCGGAGCTCAGCCGCGAGGGGTCAGTGCTTCACCAGCAGTGCTGCGCTTGGGCTCCGCAGGGAAAATCCGCTCCCACCGCACATGCGAGAGGGGGACACTGCTTCATCGGTGCCTACTAACCCGTGGAAAAACAGCCTCCAGATCAAGGAAAACAAACCGTAGCAAGCTTATGAATATCACAAATTCCAGTGCTGGCCTGCCAAATACCACTGCAGTATTTGTGTTTGGGATTCTCAAAGGATTAGACCTCCTCCTTGCTTGGGAAGCGTGCCTGGGTCAGCAGAGCAGGCGGGAATGCAGCTATTCCCAGCACTAGGCACGGGCACAAACCGGGGAGGAATTTCTGCTGCTGCCTAGGGACACTGACAAGCTGATGGTGTGCAGGAACTAAGCATCAGTTTCTGAGTAAGAACAACCCCTTGAGTATTGACGGAGTATAAAGATGTCTTATATTTACATTTCCAGTTACATGAAATATATAGTATGCGGACAATAACTGTTTTTTACTTAATTTTAAAATGTGCTTAGAGGTGGCTCACTTTTTTCTGGTTTCTGGAGTGACTTTTGTCAGTTGAATTTCCAACCCTATTTTACATGCTTCAGAGCTTTCACTGAGAATTGGGTAAAAGCAAGCTCCCACTGACACAGAGATGGCTTTGGTGACCAAGTTCCCCCCTGTACATCAGTCAGACTGCCCAGTCACAGTTCTGGAGCCTGCTCCTCATAAAGGGCAGAGGTTGCAGCTGGCACAAGGGAATCAAGAGTGCAGCAAGGGCCATACTCTGAATTGCATCCATTGAGCCTGTTAGCCCCAATACACCAGAGAGGTCTGTCTCAGCTGATCTGATAATATTTTTTAGGAATTATTTAGGCAGGTGCTTACCAAGAACCATCCAGGGGAGGAGCAGGCATAATCTTTCCTCTACTGCCTCATTCAGCCTGGACTTCTTTACATTAGTGCCTTCCAACCCATGAAGAGAATCATTGAGATGAGCTCGAGAAAAGGACTCTGCCTGCAAGGGGACACAAATGACACCAGAAACAGGTTGATCTGTCCTAATGTATTTGCTCTGTTTTAGTGCCACTGCTGCTTGTGACAGCTGTAGAGATAGAGATGTCACAGGAAAGGAACAGGACAACAACAAAGAAAGGGAAAGCTGAGAGGTCTGGGCTGGGTAGAGGGCAATGGGAAAGCTGCAGTTGGTAGCAGAATATGAAAGCAAACCAGAACTGATTCTGGCGTTCCACCTTGGGTTCTTTAAGTGAGATTCTTATGCAAAAAAGACTGGGAAACCATTGCACTGCATCACTGGAAAAAAATCACTAAAAGCTATTACCACATTTTTAGAAATAGTGAGGGCTTTGGGGGTTGCTTTACTTATCTCATGAAAATTCAGAAGCCTAATGACAAAACTCCTGCTAAAGAAACACTTGCAGGAACATGCAGATGGCATGTGGTACATAGTTGACAAGTTACTCTAGACTAGTTTGTCTAAACAACAGGAGATTTTTATGTCATAGCTAATCTCATCCTGATTGAATTCTGATGGTAGCTAGTTTTTATTTCTGGTTTCAGTTATTTTCCTTAATTTACTCACCAATATATTTTAAATAAAAATCTGAAACAAATGTGCAAACATTTAAGATGTTTTTCCTTATATTGCAGGTGCAACACTGAAGAATTTGTAGATATGGATGCACCCCCAACACAGCATAGCATGACAGTTCCATGATGCTATACCAAGACCAAAATCAACAAGGATTTCTCTCTGGAGATCTCACCAGAAGTGTTGCAGCAGAAAATCATGCCAGTCTATTGGAATGACAGGCACAGTTAGGAGTTCTGGACAACCACACACCCCTGAAGCCATAGTTGCAGATGGCTGGTAACACATACTCTTTTTTAAAAACAAAACCAAACCCATGTTCAGTAGGGTTTTGAAAAAATTCATGCCGTGATAATGTTTAAGAAAAAAATGATAGCATAATTCTGTCATATCGTGCCACACAACAATTGAAAATATCACTATATTTTTAAAATACAGGTATGTGCAGAATGAGCTTTTATTTGGGAAGCTGTTCTGAAGAGATAAAATAGTTTTCTGTTGTACTAATTTTTCTTTAATTTTAGAGAAAATCTTTATATATTTTATGGCAACAAAGCCACAAGGTTCTAGACTGCAAATTACAATGGTATGGCAAGATACTGCCTAGGAAAAGGTATTTTTTAAACAAACAAAACTATCAGGAAGCATAATATAGGATGCCCTATATGCCCAAAACCATGTGTTTATCATAGAAGAAATTGTGAGTAGAATAATGAATTGTATGTGAAAATCACTATCAAAAAGATTAATTGATTCCATTTTAAATGAGAGAAAACATGTTTTTAATATCCATGATAACAGCTGCACTTAACTTATATGAAGTCTTCCTTTTCTAATTGAAAAGCTATTCTCCAAGTACTAGATAAGATATGCTGTTAACCCAGTTTTCTTTTTTTTTGTGGCATTCTTGGAGTTAGTTTAACAGTCATTTTCATACCTCAGGTTGAACCTGGTCTCGGCTGTCTTATATTTTGAGAATAAATTGAAAAAAAACCTACATCTACATGCTTTGTAGACAAAATTTGATGATTAAATGGACCGCCGCGGCCATGGTGTGTTTATAGAGATCTTTACAAGCTCCTTGTTGGTATCCTGTCTTGGACAGTATTTGGGGGCAGTATCTTTCCCCTGAGATTTGCTGTCATGGGGAAAAGTGGAAGAAGGACATGAGTCTGGGAACTGCAGCAAGGGAAAACTGCCTTAGATTAGATGCCTGAATTTTGATGTCAAAAGTTAATTTCTACCTTTGATCATTAATAATGTAAAGAACATATAACCACAGTATTTAAGAGATGTCTGCATTTTGCAGAATCTGGGTTTTAAAATGCATGATATAGCAGGACTAGGAAGTTATAAAGTGAAATCACATCCCCTAGCTATGGAGCTTTCTCAGTATTACTTGACACTTACAAAGAGGAGAGCTTCTCTCTAACACTCCAAGACTGCCAGCACAAATCAACTTTGAGAACGCACTCATTTTACCACAAGTATCTCCTGAAATATAGATTATAAGGGGCTAAGATCCTCTTTCATGGCACACAATTTTATTTCTGAAGACTGCTTTGAAGTTGCCATTTAACCTACAAAAGCCTGAAACACCAAGGAGTTTGTCATACAGGCATTTTTCCTTAAAATACTAAGGGACACATTAGAATTGAACTAACCAAATAATAATAAACATAGGGCTTAATATTCCAGCAACAGACAGTCTGTGCAAAAACTGGTTGTTCCTCACACAAGCGATCCCTTTCTTTTTGTAATTACCACAGTAGCCTCCTTCAGTTCACCAACATTTCTCGTAATGAAGAGCCCAGAAACTCGAGGACCAGAGGCAGAATTTCTCCTCCTTGCAGCACACTGCACATCTCTTCCCTGGATTTCAGGCTGAGTGACTGACTTCATGGAGGAAAGCAAAGGCAACAGAAAGAAAAGTCATCTTGTTCCCACATATCAAAGGAGACAGTATTTCGGTGGAGACTGTTTTTTCTACCCTACAGGCACAGAGCAACAAATGATTTGTCTAACTTTATTTACCTCCAGGTGTCTAGGTTCAGCATTGACATAAACAGCCTTTCCAGGTCCCTCTGGATGGCATCCCTTCCCTCCAGCACGTTGATTGTTCCACATATCTTGGTGTCACTGGCAAACTTGCTGAGGTGCACTTGGTCCCACTGTCCGTGTTAAATATGGCCAGTGGTTGACCACCACACTTTGAGTGCAACCATACAGCTACTTCCTTACCCACTGAGTGGTCCTTCCACTTTCTGGTTAAAAGCCAAGGATGTCATGTGGGTCAGTTTCAAATGCTCTGCACAGGTTCATGGAGATGTGACTTGCTCTCCCTTTGTCTACTAGTGCTGTAAGGTCACCAAATTTCACAGAATGACTGGGTTGGAAGAGACCCTGCAAGATCATCGAGTCCAATCCATGCCCCAACAACTCAACTAAACCCTGACACCCAGTGCCACATCCAGTCTGTTTTTAAACACATCCAGGGATGGTGACTCCACCACTTCCCTGGGCAGACCATCCAGAACTTTATCACCCTTTCTGTAAAAAACTTCTTTCCTAATATCCAACCTATATTTTCCTTTGTCAGGCATGATTTGCCCTCAGTGAAGTCATGATGGCTGTCCCAATCACTTCCAATATTTTCCATGTGCCTTAACACAGTTTCCACAATGATCTGTGCTATGACCTTGCTGGGCACAGAGGTGAGACTGACTATAGTTCTCCAGGACTCTCTTTAATCCCTTTTTAAGGATGGGTGTTATTTTTCCCCTTTTACAGTCATTGGGAACTTCACTGGACTGCTGTGACTTCTTGAAATATGATTAATAATGGCTCATCCACTTCTTCCACTACTTCACTTAGGACCTGCAAATGAATCTTGTCAGATTTCATGGACCTTTGCACCTCCAGGTGGCTTAGATGTTCTTGAACATGATCTTCTCCTACAGTGCACAGCTCTTCATTTTTCCAGTCCTTGCCTTTGTCTTCTGTGACTCAGCCAGTGTGGCTGGAACACTTGTTAGTGAAAACCAGCAAAAAAAAGGACTGAGTAACTCAGTCTTCTCTGCATTCTGAGTAACCAAGCCTAATGTTTCCTTCCAGGCAGGGCTCATTATTTCCCCAATCTTTCTTTTATCACTGACATACCTATGGAAGCTATTCTTGGTGCCCTTGCTGTCCCTGACCAGATTTCACTCTGTCAGGGCTTTAGCTTTTTTCACCTAATCCCTGTCTGCTTGCACAATGCTGGTGAGAACAATTTCTGTGTATTCCTAAGTTTTCTTGCTTCCATTCACATTGACTTATTTTTTTGTGTTTGTTCAGGAGCTTCTTGTTCATCCATGCAGGCTTCCTGGCCTTTTTACCTCATTTCATCTTTTTTGGGATGCCTTTCTCCTGAGCTTGGAGGAGATGATCCTTGAGTATCAACCAGCTTTCTTGAACCCCTTTTCTCTCCAGGGCTTTACTTCATGGTATCCTACCAAGCAGATCCCTCCTTAAGAGACCAAAATCTGCTCTCCAGAAATCCAGGGCAGTGATCTTGCTGTGCAGCCTCCTCACACTTGCACCCTGACACTCTAAGGTCCTGGGTTCAATCCATGCTGCCAAAAGAACAACTGTGGGTCTGCATTACACACCATGGAGAAAATGCTTCTGGGTAGTCTGTTCCAGCTCTCCCTGTGGAGCTGCATGGCTACTGATGCAATGTTGGGGAAAGCTCAAAAATCTTTGGGGCTTAATCAATCTCCATTTAAATAAGCAAGAGAAAATTCCCCTCCTCGAGGTCATATTAAATAAGGTGTTTACTAAGATTGTCTGTACATGAGTTTAAAGGAGAATCTTTAAATTAAATTTGTTATATTACCCAAGCAACATCTCTTTAACAAATGAAGACATGCTGGTGGAATTAATGTGAGTTTTAATATTCACTGAATGTAAGTATTCAATTTCTCATGCAGTATGTAGCTGTGAGAACAGCCTGCCTTCAGCCTAACATATTGTCATTCCCCTTTGGTGTTAGATGGATTTTTTAAACTTTTCAATGGATGTAACAGAAAATTAAGATAAAATATGAAAACTTCTTCAGATTTTTGTGGGTACAAAACTTCAAAGCAGCTTGCATGAAAATATTCACCTACTTCTTGTCCTGGTTTTGCAAGACTGGGAGCAGTGACTGGTGGTGTCCAGGCAAAGATCAGAATAGTAATTAAAAGAACAATATGTTTATGCTGAAGACAACATCTAAAAAGGAAAAAAGGGGTTTCCCCCTCCCCTCATCTTATGGTTCATTAAAAATGTAAAAACATTTTTCCGGAAAAATTATTTAAAGTAAAGCTGTATTCTTCTCAAGACATCAGTTCTTGACATTTCTTCTTTTAATGCAGAATTCATTGGAATTCCCAGCACAAAGGCCAGGTACCCTTAACAAACCCACATGTACTGCTATGAGTGGAGAGAGCACTCACCCCTTTAAAAACTGCAGTGCAAATAATCTCATACTAGTAAAAATGTCTGAAAAAATGTAGGAAGAAATACCAGACCCACATGAATTGTCAGGTAAGTGTTCCTTCCAAAAGCAAAGTATTAAAACAGTCAGGTATCCCAGGAAGGGATGGGAACTTAGGCACAAGTCCCAGAGCAACTCTTGCTTCACTCACAATATTCCATTGTTCTCAGTAAGTTGGAGCACTTGGTGGCAGGATATTGGAAATGCTGACACTTTACAGCAAATGAACAGGATGCACAATAAAGTTGCAGGTAAAATGAGGAATATTTAAGAGAGAACAATGTTGCATATTCTGACTTCTACTTAAGGAAAAGAATGAAACTTCTTGATCGACAATGTATATGCATGGTACATATATATATTATAATAATAAGTGTGTATACACACACTTAAAAAAAGGATTTGTGTAAACTTAAGTTCAAGAATAGGGAAGAAATATCAAGCAGGTACCTTTTGAAAATCTGAGTAGCAGATTAATAAAATTTCAGTACAAACATGGTTTATTATGTAACTAAGATACATGCATTTATATGCTGTTTAACCTATTTTGTTAACTATTTTTCATATATGTCATATCTAATGTACATATGCTTTATGTATTATATTTTAGTTACCATATTCTACATTACATATTAAAGTCACTTGGATTCAGTGTTGTTTGTTCTCTAGTCAATACCACATTATTGACATTATTGAATTACCCTTTCCAACTCTGCAAATTCTTTATTCAGAAAAAAAAAACCAACCCTCTTACTGCTTATGAATAATTTATTTTCTTTAAATCCCCAGCCCATATCAAAGGGATAAAGAGGCAAAATTCACTTCCCTAATTCTTCTCCTCTGTATAGGACTGCTTTATCAGTCAATCAGCGCTGGCAGAATCAGAATATCAAGATCAAAATACTGTAATCTTATTCTGATAGTCTTATATTGAGTATTTAAATTGATTCAGACATAAGCATCTCTCACTCAATTACAAGGACTTTTAAAGTCTTTTTAACAATTTGCTTAATGTTAGCATAATTGTAACCCTGAATTAATGCTCCTAAGTAGAAAATTGCACAAAGGGAAGGAAGGAGCCCAGTTTTTCCATGAAGGAACACCAATATAATGAAAGCTGGCACAACCTGAAATGCAACAGCAGTCATACAAGTGCAAGAAAGTACCAACCCACATATTCCTATCAGGGATCCTTTAGAAGGTGCATCTTGAGTAATGAGGAAGGCAATGATAATGAAAATAAAGGGAGCGCGGCTCAGTTGATGATGCATTAAGAAGGAGCACCTTGTTTAACACACATGGAACAAAGAAAGGCATGTTGCTGTCATTGCAGAAATTAACAAAACGCCATAAAGCACACACCAGGTGGTGCCCTAGGAGTGTGCCAGATAACAGCCCACGGTACTCTTCCGTACCTTCTGGCTGAGCATATTTTGGCACAAGCAGGGCTGGAACACTCGCCCGATGCTGCAGAACCCTGCTCTGCTCTGCCGCACAATTCCTACAAACCAACGGCCCCAACTGTTTCCAGCTGAGCAGCTTGTGCCCCAGGTCCCAGCTTCTATCACAGAGCCCATTAAACGTGAAGTGCACACCTGAACCTCTGTGCTTTGAACACAGAAACTCGAGAGGCTCTGCCGAGCCGTAGAGAGCAAGGCTCATCCCAGACCGCTCACCTCCCCGCGGGATGATCCTCAGGCAGCCCCGGATCCTCGGGCCTCCAATACCAGCCTTGAACCAAACTACCCAGGTCCCTTCTACCACCTGCTCGACATCTGGGCCCGCCCATCCCTCACGGCACCTGTGCTTCCCCTCCCCTCACGGTACCTGTGCCCCCCGTCCCTCACGACACCTGTGTCCCCCGTCCCTCACGACACCTGTGTCCCCCGTCCCTCATGACACCTGTGTCCCCCGTCCCTCACGGTACTTATGCTCACCCGTCCCTCATGGTACCTGTGCCCACCGCCCCTCACAGCACCTGTGCCCGCCCGTCCCTCAAGGCACCTGTGTTCCCTGCCCCTCACAGCACCTGTGTTCCCTGCCCCTCACAGCACCTGTGCCCGCCCGTCCCTCATGGTACCTGTGCCCCCCGTCCCTCACAGTACCTGTGCTCCCCCATCCCTCATGGCACCTGTGCTCACCCGTCCCTCATGGTACCTGTGTTCCCTGCCCCCTACAGTACCTATGTTCCCCGTCCCTCACGGCACCTGTGCTCCCCCTGCTCCTCACGGCACCTGTGTTCCCCGCCCCTCACGGTACCTATGCTCCCTCCTGCCTCTCACGCCCCTCATGGTACCTGTGTCTGCCTGCCCCTCACAGCACTCCCCGGTGGGATGCTGCTCATACCCACCTCACCCCATGAGGCCCCCAAATCACGCACGAGGACTAAGCAGGAGGGATGGGTATTCCTGGAGGGCGGACTGGGAAGCAGCCTGAGGGTGCCGACCTTTTGTTCCGTCAAGAGCGGCTGCGGTCGCAGCTGCAGCCGAGTGGGGCCATCTCCCACCTCCCTCAGCTCTGTGGGGAGGCAGCTCCCTGCAGTATCGGTGGGAGAGGACTCAGCACTTCCATTGCTGGAGGATAGGAAGGCTCTGAAGAAGGATGTGGATGTGCTGGATGGATGGGTTGAAGTCAACAGCATGAGGTACGAGATGGCCAAGTGCCACACATTCCCACAACAGCCCCCTGCAGCACTACAGGCTGGGGACAGAGTGGCTGGAAAGTGGCCCAGAGGAAAAGGCTCTGGGAGTGTTGTTGGACAGCAGCTGAACATGAGCCCAGGTGGCCAAGAAGGCCAAAGGCACCTGGCCTGTGTCAGCAATGGTGTGGCCAGCAGGACCAGGGCAGTGATGAGGCCACACCTCATGTTCTGTGTCCCATTCTGGACCCCTCAGTTCAGGAAGGACGTTGAGGAGCTGGAGTAAGTCCAGAGAGTGGAATGGAGCTGGGGAAGGGGCTGGAGCACGAGTCCCATGAGGAGCAGCTGAGGGAGTTGGGGGTGTTTAGCCTGGAGAAAAGGACACTCAGGGGGAACCTTATGGCTCTGCACGATTCCCTGACCAGGAGGTTGTAGCCAGGAGGGGACCGGCCCTGCTGTCAGGGAACAAGGGACAGGATGAGAGGATACTGCCTTGAGCTGTGCTGGAGGTTCAGGTTAAACACTAGGAAGAAATTCTTCACAGAAGGGGTGAATAGATGTTATAATGGACTTCCCAGAGAGGTTGTGGAGTCACTGCTCCTGAAGGTGTTTAAGGAAAGACTGGATGTGGCACTCAGTGCCACGGTTGAGTTGATAAGGTGGTGTTAGGCCATAAGTTGGACTCAATGATCTAAGAGGTCTTTTCCAGTTTTATTAATTCTGTGATTCCCAAGACATCATCAGGGAGTGAATTCACCCCACAGCCCCTCTGGAAGGCTGCACAGGAACCCCTCAGGAGGGCAGTGGGGGATTGCTCTGGAATGCCCCATGAGAGCACGGTGCTGGGCTGGAGTAAGGCTCTCGGGTGCCAGCAGCATCTGTGACAGCATGTGTTTTTCATAGATCCTGGGGATCTGCCAGGCAAGCTTCAGGGCCCTGCTCTGGCTGGGGCACGAGGGCTGTGTGGGGTAGCTCAGGGTGGGAGAGGCTGGGAGATGTGAGGTAAAAGGGCATGAGGTCCTGCAGTGTGTGTGAAAACGCGCTCACATATCCCCCCTCCCCTGGCACATATAGCAATGATTTCAAAGCTATCTCAGACAGTGGAGAAAACATGTATTTACTGCCACTCCTACACACCAAATCCCAGGGCACTTGTAATAAGTTTAGACTAAGGATGAATGCTTGAGCAGGTGGCCAGAGGTCTCCAAAGAAGAGTAATACTCGCCCAGGGTGTTTACATCCCGCTACGAACTAGAATAGTCTCTTTCATGCCAAACCACAAGCTGCTGGTTGAAACCTGAGCTGAACTTCCTTGATGATCAGAGGAGCCTGGCTAACTTTCAGCACAGCCAGTTTTCATTTTCACACCTCTCCAAACTTGCTGGGACAAGAACCAAATGTATAAGCACAGAGTGAACTCCTATTCCTGGGACATTGCTGACCCAAAATCAAGCAGCATGTGTCAGAATATGCTAAAAAAGGGTTGTTTTCTCTCAAAAGTTTTCCCAGTTTGGCTTTTTGAGGCTTGTGTGGTTTCTGCTGTTCATATAAACTACAGTTTTGGTCATCTGCATTTAGGTAAACCATGGCTTAAACTCATAGAGGCTTTCATCTGAGAAAGCCTCGTATCTTTCATGGCACCCAGTTTTTTTCCCTAATTGAAAAGCAAATGTGGCTTCAATGCACACAAAGGCTGCACATTCCCCAGAACACTGTGTGGAGATCTGCTCCTCCTGGCTTTTGACACACTGATACTGCTGATGTAGCTGCATGCATGCTGGCTACCAGATCAATTCCAGTGGATTTTTTAGAATTTTCAGTGGATTTTGCACAGCCTAAGTCTGGAGCTTTACTGCTCTGGGCACAGTTAACTAGCACCATCTTGGGTGCTTTTACATGTCAGACTTTCAGTTCCATGCAGACAGATGTCTGCTCTTTATATCCCAGTGGAGGTTTTACTGGATGGCCATCCAGCAATTATTAACTCATGCAAGAAATAGGTCTAAATACTCATTTATTATGTGCATTTGTGAATAAGCATAAAGTGCTACAAAGCTCAGAGTAGTGTGCTGGGAAATAGTCCAGCCAGATGGAAACAGTCCATCACATACCACAAGAAGCCCAGTTACTTGCAGTGCATCTCTTCCCTGTGCAGATTAGGGAGGCTTTTCTGCCTTCTTAGAAGCTGAATAAATGTAAGTACTACTGCAGGATTGCTGGAAGTTCAAAATAATCACAAATATCATGTGTCCTCCACTTTCTTGGGGGGATTTCTCAGACAGTTGATGAATTCTCCTTAGGGCTCCCCTGTAGATCCTTTTAGGATTTCTGGTAGCCAAAATGCATTTTTTGCTCAAAACTCTAGTGCCTTTAGCCCTACAAATAGCAACAAATCAAAATATTTTAGCAAAAGTCAGTGAGAAAGGCAGGAAGACAGCAGCTCCCCAGAAGGTTAGCTGCATCCTGTTTCCTTCAGGCATGTAAAGCTTGGGTAATGAAAGGGGAGAGGGGATTCAGGCAAGACTGGAGGATGAGAGGTTCAGGAATTTCAACAGAGCCATGAAGCAGCTGCAGAAATACTGGAACGTGTATGGAGGACCAGTGCTGCTCAAGATAAAACTGGTACCTCTAAACAAGAGAAATACTGTATTAATGCTTCCTTCTGCATAATTAAGCAACTTTTGAGGAGCCAGGGCTCTTGTTTTAAACAGATTTCTGACCTTCACAATTGTGGTAGACATATAGGATGTTCTGAAATACAGATTCAAGAAACTTCTTTCTGATGGTGGGAGGGGAACCATTACCCTGCCAGTCTGAAACTTGCCTTGTGGTCACTGGGCACCTGAGGCTGGTCACTGAGCAGGACAGGACAATGCTCTGGCACTTAATAAAGAAGTGAAGTTCTCACCAGGAATGGACAGGGTTACATTCTGTTTCCTGTCCTAAGCTCTCTCCTCCTGGAAGGATTTATTTTAGTCTCTCCCCTGTATCTAAACCATAATAATGAAAAAAAATAAATTCTTCCAGTTAAAAAAATGCAAACAAGCAGAAAAATCTCCATTGTTCTAATGATAGAATAACTTGCAGTGAGAGGTGGCACGATTTAGAGTTATTTTTTGCAAACATTCTAGACACCATTTATATTAGTGCCAGCTTAAAAGTGTTTGATTGCTACTGTTGTTGCTAGAGCTAAGTCTGACAAAAGGAATAATCACTCATGATAGGACTGAAATGGGCTATACACTGTTTCGAAGGTTTTATTTGTACAGATTCTGGACAGTTTATAGGAGTTTAAATGCTGTTTATTGCCATCTCAGTGGGCCATTCAACTGAGCATTATGGAGCCTGTGGCCATCAATTACCTAAAACTTGCTTATATCAGCTATATACCTATGGTGAGTAGTGTAAATATGCATAGATTATGTACATATAAACTCAAATGGCACTCTATATGCTAGAAATCATTCTGAACTGGAGCTTTACCATGATACACAACCCTGAGATATCTGTTTCAGCTATACAAACCTGCTGGAGCCTGTGGATCTGGAGGTGTAATGTCAATGTTGTGTTCTCTTCCCCACTTCCAAAATACACCATTGTCGAATCTGGCAGGGGAAGCATAAAGTTTAAGAAATTCACTCATTGTGGATTGACATCTTAAGACAGGTGATCAGGTAAACTGACATCTCAATACTGTTACCCATTTGTTCTTCATAACTGAAACAGCTTCTCAACTGCTTTCTGTCACATTCCCTTGTGTCTGATGAATCTGTTACCTTACACGCCAATTCATTAGCTTTTAGCATCTTGTCCTTTGAAAATCCCATTCTTCTGAAATTTCTTGCCTTCTTCTCTACTGCTTCCAGTTATTAATAAGGAATTGTGACCATTTCAATGTCAAACATGTTTGATCTCTTAAATACCTCAGACTGTAGCTACTGAATGCTACAGTAATACTGAAGGTTTTTAACCGGCCAGGGATTAGTCAGGATGGCTACAAAAACACTAGCTTGAAGATTTTAAAAGTTACTTTCTGAGCTCCTTTTGCAGAATCTCTTCTTACAATATGCTTAGAAACACATGGGACAGTGAGGTAGAGGTGTGGATAATAGAAATAAAACCTGTAGGCTGCTTAGGGTTTTTTGTTTGAATGGTTGCGTGTTTTTGTTTTAGTTTGTTTGTAAAGGTTTTTGTTGTGGGCTTTTTTTGGGTGGGGAGGATTGCTTGTTTTTTTGAGGGGAAATATAGTCCTATCTAGAAGTCTCGTAAGCAGCTGTTCTTCAGGCTAAGCAGAACTGAATAAGGAACTGGGTATTGGCTGCCAAGAACTTACATGCACTCCTCTGGAGTGTAATATGCTTCTGCTATGAATAATTTTTAATTTGAAATAGCAAAACAAAAAAGCTGGACCCATTCTTCTGTACTGCTCTTTGTACTAACAAAACTGGGGGAGCTGCTCAGTAATCGTATCTGGCAAGAAAAGCTATTTCCAAATGTGAATCAAGTCCAAGAGAAAACAAAAATCTGACTTGTGACTACAGGCTGTGAAGAGAAAATTACTTATCCCTGTGTGGTGCTAAAATTAATTCTTCGTAATTGCAAAAATTTCTCATCAAGTTATAACAAAAAGTTACTATTTGGAATACTTGTTTTATCTTAAGGTTTTGAAGCCATTTGAGACACTGAACATTATGAAAACAAGCAAACCCAGTATCTGGACACTGCTTGCAGACTGCTTTTTAACTCCCCTTAAGGATTCCAGATCATGGACCCTTAAAACTTGATCCAAGTGTATGTGATTTATTGTCCTAAAATTGCTGAGATCTGCTGTCATGGCTTCTGCTTGGGATAGAAATGCTGGGAATGAAGGTGAATGCTGACTATCTGAAGGATGTAGTAAGTGGATCTTACTTTATCTGTAATTTCATTTACACTCCCAGGGTTGGAAAATAGCTTAGGCAGACTTGTCTTTGTTGGTTCATATCTCATTATACACATCATAAATGCCAAACATTAGGGCAGAAATACTAGGGTTGAAAATATATCATGAAGAAACTTCTTAGTGGTCAGAATCAAAGAATTGGGAGGCAACAGAAAGACGAAAATAATATGGCTGTGTCAGTATGTGGCAATGTCATGTCCTTCTGGGAGCAGACTAAGAGAAAATACCTTAGTAATTTATGCAGTTTTCATCTGCCTCCACCCTTGTAATTTTCTCAGCTGACAGTGTTCTACAAGTTTATAAGATGCCTCAGTCATCTACTTCTTGACATTTCTTTGGTTTGACTTCTGCTTTCCTACCATTTTTATGTCAAGTGTTCTTTATCTGTGTTTAAAATTGGCAGCAACAGTGAGCAGGCTTTTGGCATGGCCACAATTGCTTCCAGACAATGGTAGTAATCTTCTCACCCCTGGGGACAGGAGAGCAGGCGAGAGCTGTGGAACTTTCCTCCCTCTGAACTACTCTGCTTTCATGCTCAGGGGTGAGGAGTGCTGGCTTGTCCCTGTGCAGGGACACAAGGACCCTGCCTGCTGACATTTGGATCCATGAATGGTACCCTAATCCCCTGCAGGTGGGAAAACGTGGGGATTGCTGCTGAGGATTACTCAGAAGTTGTGTTATGTCAGAGTAAGCACTGTGTGGGAATTGCAGGCTCATGTTGTTGACAGCAGAGGGATGTGGCCAGGAGGAGTGAGCACTGGGATGCTGTCCAACTCCTTTGCAGTTGCTAGAGCCAGCTTGCCTTCAACACCTGTACTCAGGATTGCCTGCAGGAAGAGAAACCATGTTCCACTTTGTTCTAGCCATCTATCTCAGCAAGGTTTGGCTCTCCAATTCATTGTATTTTCTCCTTCTCAAATTTGTGTGAACATGAAAAGAGGGAAAGAGTGGCAGCTGTACCCATCAGAGGAACCAGGTGAGCCAGACACCTTGCAAAATATATCAGACAAAAGAAATTGTATGATTTCTGCAGTTCATTTGCTGTTACTTGTGGACAGACTGTATATGGGTGTCTAGCAATTTTGTTTTTACCTTTTGTTTTCTGAAACACCCATTCTAATAATAACATGTATGACACAGGAAGCCCTATTAAAGACACTGAGATTAGGTCAAGGTGGTGTTTAATGTGATTAAAGATTGTAAAATTGGATGGTAAGCATTTAAGGAATAACTGCCATGAGATGCTTGAAGGTGGTTAAAGAGGTTGGAACCTTTGGGTGTTAGATCCTCTATATGTTAAAAAGGGCAATGTTCCAAGATTCTGGAACTCTTGATTAATTCTTCAGCAAACCACACTGATGTCTCTACTCCTCTCTGTGGTGGGGGAAATGATTTGTAGAAAGTGTAAGTGTAAAGTTTTTGCATACCAGTCAAGTTAATCCTATTCATTAAAATAATGCCTTTTAGATACTGATGCTGTTGAATTTTCATAATTGAAACAGCTAAACCTAAATCTTTAGGTCTTTTCTAACTGTCACTAAGAGTAGGCTAAAAGGTCTTTGAAATTTTTCTTAATGTGCAAGTTTGAGCTGTCATAAGGAAGAGATGTGCTGCTTAATGTTTAACTAAAAATTACTTAGTTGATCTCTTGCATATTTTTTTCATGTTTTGGCCTATGGAAGGCCTGTTCATTATTTCAGAATGTCTTGGCTGCAATCCATCTGCAAGACCTCATTTTTCTTTTGAAAGTTGCAGTCTTCACAAGCTTGGCATCTGTGATATCACAAACAATGAATTACTGTGGCTGGAAGACTCTGGAATTAAAAACCCTCCTCTGTAAGAACATATTTTTTTTTTTTTACAGAATTGGGATTTGTTGTGAGGAAACACAGCTGACAAAAAAAAGTTTTCAAAGATGACAGATTTTTCATTTTCTGATGAAAAAATGAACTGAAGTCCTGATGCTGAGGACTTGCTCTTTAAATAAATGGGATCTTTCTCTCCTCTCTTGGCAACAGCAGGAGTATTCTTGTGCTGTATGACACGGCTAGCTGGTGCTATATTTGTCTTGTAGCTGTACACACATTTGCAAGAGGTTGTTTAATAAGAAAAAGGCAAAAAGCCAAGACAGTTTAAAGAAAGTTTATTCTACCACAGCCTGAACTTTCAGGGTTGGCTTAAAGACAAAGCTACATACTTGTGGAAGATCAGGGAATATCATTATTGATATGAAATTAAAACTTTCCTGAGTTGTCTCTGGAAAGATCAAGGCTTTGTGGAGAAGGAGGGGGGCCTGGGGGTGTGACACAACAGACGTTTTTAAAATGGAGTTCAATAGATGTTTGGATTCACCAGCAGAAGATGAGAAAGGAAGACAAGAGGGTGGGAAAGAAGATATTAATAATGCTGGCAGTAGTGCTGTTGAAGAGCTGGATTTGGGACAAATGTACCTTACCTGTTTGCCTGAGCAATATATGAGAGTGAAACTCACTCAGACAGTGTACCTGATATGCTGGCTGTTGTTGAAACTCTGCAAGGTAAGAAATTTTAGTACAAGTCTGTGATATTTTTAGTTAACTTCTTATGTGCTTAAAATACAAATTGATGAAAATCTCTGCTGAAGGATTTGACAATTCATTACTATGTATCATACAGTGTCTTTCATGGTTTATTAGTAGCAGGAGCTTTGTAAATATTGATATTGTACCCTGGAACAGGAGATCCAACAAGGGAAAACTTGTAGGGGCTACTCATGGAGTACTACACAAAGCAATACATTAGTAATTGCTAGCCAGTTTATCTCTGTATATTATTACATAATTGTAAGTGTTTCAAGATGATTTTAGATTAATTTCTAGGTGCAATTTCTTGTCATGCTCTTCGCTGATTTACATTAATCTATTGTTGGATGAGCACTGGAATGTATTTTAACTTTGAAAATGTGAACCTTATAAAAGTAAAGAATTGGGTGGGGGTTTGGAACATTTTTGTCAAATATAATGGAGTTTTTGAAGTTGTGGTGGAGCTTATTTTAAATTTGATCTGGCCACATCTAGTAAAAATACTTTTGCTTAATATATTAGTAAATAGGGAAGCAACAAGGCAATGGAACAGGTATAAATGCTATAGTTCATTCTATTCAATTCCTTGCAGAAAGCTATTGTATTGCTCAGATCCAAGCAGAGAAACATTGAATTCTACAAAAGTGATATGATTTAAGGTTTCAGGTTTAAGCAGGGAGGTACTGAGATATTTGAGCTTCAAATGCTGCTGCTTCCAATGGTGTAACAAGGCTGTATTAGTAAATTTAGAATGTGTAATAGGTCTTTGTTTCTCTGTTTCTGCATTCAGATCTTACTGCGGTAGACATTTAGTTGATGGGCAGATCACCATACAGATCAAAACAAATGTCAAGGCAACATTTACTGGTTGGTTTTTCTTCAGAAGTGTATGACAGCGGAGATCCATGATGATGATGGGGTGGAGACCACAGGAGCAGGACCAGGTGGTGCCTCTTTAGCAGCAAGCCCTCTCTTCTGTGTGCATGGCAGCTTTGGGGCAGTAGCTACATCAGGTTTTTTGACAGCATAGCTGTAAAATATAGCAAATATATACACAAATATAACATCAATATGAACTGAACACTACTAACAGTGTTATGTGTTAGATTGCTAGAGAACTTTGTTTCCACACATATTCCATATTTATAGTGTCTTTGCTCTTGTCTGTATGTAGCATTTATTCTGTGGTGCCAATTGCTTGCATTAGGGGGCAGATAGAGACCCTTTCATAGGACTATTTCTGGTGTTTTTTCTGCAGGGATCTTTTGTGAGGCTGACTGAAACGAGATGGGAATCCACACAGCGATGGGGGTGGAGTAAACAGCCCTAGGGCAGATGCCAGAGCCAACCTGTGAGGCAGAGTCCTGGTCAGCACACACTTCCTGATGGTTTTGAGGAGTGCTGATCCAGGCTGGGGAAGGTTGCACCTTGTCTGGTTGCTGATTCATTTGATTGGTTCTCTTGTGGTTTGAACTATTTGCAACCACTGAGTTTGTAGGTTTTAAGAGCCATATTTACATTAAGGAAAGAGGCAGAACCTCATTTGTGGCTACAAACCTAGTAGTTGCTCTGGGTGTGTGTGTGCAACAGTTTCAGTCCCCAGGGCTCAATCTTTGTGCAGAGATTTTTTTGTGTATTAATTGTGAAGTGTGCACAAAATGTTGAGTGGTCTGCACACAATGGCTTTGCACAACGTGCATGAGTTATCCTGTAGGATAAATGGTTGTTCCAGTTATTTGAGGATAGTTTCTAAGACAACAGGAAGAATTTTGAAAGTACGTAAACTAGAAGAGATGTTTCTGTCTGTGATTTTATGTACTTCCATACGGCCTTATATTTGCATGGTGCATTTAAGTTGTTCAAGTTGGGAAGAAACAATTCATACTACTATAAAGTAGAGTGAGGAGAGGTAGTGTAGCTTCTGTTAAAATCACAAATGTCTTCAGAAAGCTTTGTGGGAACCTTACAATGCCCTGGCTAAGCAAGAGGGTAACTAAACCTCTAATTTACTAATGCTTCTTTCTTGTTGAGCTTTCTTAAAGACCATTTGGATTTGAGACCCCACTGTCTTATTTCCTGACACTCTTCCATGACTTAAACATCTTCCAAGTCCTAATCCATTCAAAAAGTGCTAATTTTTTTCTCCTTCCCCTTCACAAGAACAAAAACAGCACAGTGTTTCTTTTTCTCAGGTTCTGCAACTTGGCAGAACCCAGCAATCCTGCTCTAGTGGGAGGGGAGGGAAGGCCAGCAGCACTGAAATGGTGCTGCTGTGTTACAGAGGCACCCTTTGTGACAGCTTGTGTGTATCTCCTGTACATCCAAATGTTTCCAGCTCTTGGCTACAGACAGGGCCCCAGGTGCTCATGGCTTGGAAAATATCAGTGACTCCCTATAACTCCTGATCAATGCTCCCCCAGAAAGAATTTTGTGTCCTTTGTGTCAGGGGAGCTCACCCTTCTGTAAATTAACATGGACAGAATGAGGAGAGACTCTGTTTAGCAGGTGAGAAACCACTCTGAGTGTGTGCTCAAGCAGTTTGACATGAAGTTTAGTTACAAAAGAATCAAATTCCACCAATGTGTCATGGGAACACGTGCAATCAGCCTGTCAGAGTTCAAGAAGCATCTTTGTAGACTGACATCTGGGAAATTTCCCACTTGTGATTCCCTGAGGGAGGCTTCCATTTTCAGAGGTCACCATGACTTGTGGGGATGAGGAAAGAGGCTTTAAATCTTTCTTTAATTCAGATTTAGCACAAATTTAGTTGAATTGATTCTCTGTTTTAATAATTTACTAAATTTCAGTAATATTCTGTACCTCTGAATATCAAAACCAGCTGGTGATTTCCCTGTTATTTACTACACCTTAAGCATTTTCTGTCAGCTCACCTGGTAATTTTTTAAGTCTGAAATCTGTACAAAAGGTAAAATAATGGTAAGACAAATCTATAATTCAATTTTGTGTCTTGTCTCTGTATTTTTGAGTACTGGGTTCTACAGAGCTTCCAACTGCTCTTGCTATGAACTTCTAAATGCCATGTAATGCATGAGAATTAAATTTAAATTTAAAAGATTAAATCACTTTCTTATAGTTTAGGGCACAGGGGCTTAACTCTTTGCTATTCAATAGATGTATCACTCTGTGTTCATAATCTTGCTGTCCTTGGCTCAGCTCATTATCTGTAAAGAAGAATGAAAATTTGTTTGCTTTTATTTCTTAATTTATTTTGATTTTTTTTCCTTCTGATTATAAACATTGTAGAGGTGGACTATCTTCTGTAATTATGGGCAATGGTAAGATCAGCCTGTGCAACAGTATGGGATGAATCCCCTCCAAGGGAAAAGAGGAAATCTGGTTTTCCTATAATATGAATGAATTTTCTAGGTATTAGTCTGTGATCACAAGGAAGTTTTGGGGCACTACCTGCCTTCTTCTGGCACCCCTTTGAGGAAAAAAGGGTGCAGGGAGGTAATTATTGCCCCTTTCTTAGGTGCTGACCTCTAAAAGATCATCAGTGAAAGTGTGGCCACTTCTGGAGGTGACACTTGGGTTTTCACACCAACAGGTTGGAAGCTCTAAGACATGGGTGGTTTCTTCAGGAGAGGGTTTCCTCTGGACTCCAAAGGACAGCCCCTAAAGAAAATGGTCCAGTGAAGGGAAGAAGACTATTAGATATGTCTTCTTGTAACAATTTTTGTAGTGGTTAGATGCAATTGTTGCCTGCCAAACATGCTGCTACTCTGGTTGTAATACTCTCCATGTACTCTGTCAGAACATTTAACTAATGAGAATGTTTGGTGTGGAAAACCAAATTTGAGGTTGCTCTATCTTTTTGAGTTCTTTTTCAACATGATTTATTACAGTCACAGGAAGATTTTGAGAGAGGAAGGAGCTGGACCTTGATATGCAGAGTCTGGGGCAGGGGTTTAACCAGTGGATTGATCATACTTGGACCAAGAATTCTGTGAGGGGACCTGGCTGACTCCCTTCACAGCTATTTTACAGCTACCTTAAGTGTTTTTTGGAAATTACAAGGTGCGTGTGGTTTTGTTTGTTTGGTCGGTTTTGGCTTTTTCGTGGATTTTTTCTTGGTTTTGTTGTTGGTTTTAGTTTTGTTTTTATTAATTGATATGCTTACATGGTCTTGCTGCATCTCTAACTCCTTCCCAATAACTTTTGAACATTCTGGCCAATCTCAGCAAAATTTGAGTGAGGCAGAAGTTAGCAGAGTTCACAAGTAGGCAGTCAGGGAGTGAAAATATACTTAGCTAATGCTCCTCCTGAGGGAAAGAGTCCTTCATAAACTGTCCCTTATCAAACATCAGAAATTTTGTAAAATTTTTCCATTTCCACACTGGAGAACTGCAGAGCTGTAGGAAAGAGGACTCTGTTGGGTCAGCTGCTTGCAGAAATACATGTTTTCTCAGTAAAGTGTTTTTTGTTTGGCTATAATGGAACTCCACTGAAGCCTACTGTTTGTCTTCAGTCCTCAGAGTAAAAGCCAAGAAGTGGCTTTAAGAAGTGCAACTTGAGAGAACTAAAAAGGGATGTTTTGCAGAAAGCTTTAAACAGTCCCTTCCCTCCCCTTTGGAACACTGACTTTTTAAACTTTCAGCCAGAAAAATCAACCTCCTTTCACTTATTTGGTCAAAACTTCCAATATTTTATTCAGGGTCAGGCTTTGAGGGCAAACAGGCTGATTAGATACACTTAACTCCTAAAACATCATAAGCTGGTCTATGGGGCTTATTTTGTTTAGGAGTAATATTTCTGAATCTGTTTTCCTTTAATTTATGCTCTAATTTTCTGGATTCCTTTGGGCCAGAAATATTTAAACAGTCTGTTTTATATTGGAATAGTACTTGCAGTTCTGGGTAGAGCTAAGTGTGGTAGAGAGACAAAGCAATGAAAATGGAAAACATCAGAGTGAAAATTGGAATGTATTGAACCTGACAACAAGCTTGGTTCAGCTT